AATGTGCTAAATTAATTTCCATTTTAGTAATGCTTCAAGATTGTTAAAAAAGTAAAAAAACTATAAAATAGAACTCTATCAACAAACATTGGACACAAGAAGTATATTAAAATAGATTTGAATTAAGGGTTAATATAGGTTAGTTTTTTAAATTAATCAAGTGTTACTCCAATAATTCTCTTAAAAGGAAACGGTTTTTTATATAAAACTCTCTTAAACCTTGAAAAATTAAAAATTGAAGTTTGGGTAAACCATATTATTAGATGTATCTAAATTATGTATATATTATTTTTCTTAAAAAGTGTGTTAAAAAATGATATTTAGCATTTTTAACCTAAATTTCTATAAATCTATAATCGGAACAATACTTGTTTTTGATATAATAGATGGATAGACTTATCTTCACTACAAGAAGCTAATGTATTTCCATCAGGAGAGAAACAGATTGACATAACATAGTCACTATGACCTTCTAATTTGGCTTTTTATTATCCTGTTTTGACATCCCATAAACTGAATTTCTCACAAACAAAATAACTGTGCATTTATTTGTAATCTCCACTATTAGAGTAAATACTCAATCACTCTATAAGAAGAGGAATTTTGAGAATTATATATAAATTTTTTAGAAAATGAGAGCAATTAATATTTCTGTTCAAAAGTTTAGAAATCATCTTGTTTTTATTTAAATTAGTAGATATCTTCACGTCTTTCAAGTTTTTAAGTGTACATAACTTCTCTTATTGTAAATGAAATTTAATCCTCTTCTCTTAATCTTAAAAACTTCTTCTAGCTTTAAATTGTTCTATTTGGAACTTTATAAATTTTCCTCTTCTCTTAAGACACTAGATTTTTTCCCCCTATATTTAAATGGTAATCACAAAACCCTTGCTCGACACAATTTTAGCATATTTATAATGTTTTTAGAGCATTCATCACATCTATAGATAAATCCTTTATACATATATAGATAAAGTCTTTATATTTTGAATTTAAAAAACATTTTAAAGATTTAAAATTAATCTTTAAAATGTGTTTTTCATTCAAAAATAAGAAATTAAACTCAAAATAATAAAAAAATCTCCAAAAGACAATGCATCAATTAGCTCCTTTGAATTAGATGACTTTGGGACATATTAAAACATACTAATATTGCCAACCTTTGAGATATTTGATTCTGGGCATCTTTAGAATAAAATATGAACTATTAATGTGATGTACGCACTAAATCCTATTAATGTGCTCTTGACATATTTACTCCTGTAAGTTAAATAATTATAACATCAGGTTCTAGAAAGTTATAATTGTGAAGAATGAATGATTTAATTGTCTGATAAAAATGAAAATCTGTTTAAATGTTCACTGTTTTTTTGTAATAATATTTCAAGTTCAAGAAAATTCAAATCTCAAATTATTTAACATGTATCATCACTTCAAATACTGTTGCAAAAATTAAGCCTCTACTACTATGCTCAAAACCTATATAATGCTCACAAATTGTTTATGAGAAAATATAGCACTTAGATTAAGTTCATAAAATAAATCTATGATCTTATGTGCCTAGCATTAAAAGAAAAGCATAAAATAACTATTGAAATTTGAGTAATGATTGATATTTTTATATAATAATAATAATTTTATTAAACAAACAAATTAAATTTGAATCTGATCATAATTTTAAAGAAGCATTTCAATTATTAAAATACTTTAAATATTTATGCTAAATATATTATCTGCATAATGAAAAAATTAATTTTCTATGTAATATTTTATTTAACCAAGTACATTATATCTTCAAATTAAAGATTGGAATAAGGAGAACCTTTTTTGATTTCTCTAAGTTTCAATTATTTATTAATTGAATAAAGAGGTATCCCTAAATTAGTTTATTGATTATTTGATAGAGATAAACTTAATTTAAACAATTCTACCAATCTCATAAAAATATTAAAAATAAAAGCTAAAAGAGTATCTAAAATTATAATTTCTTCTCTTTAATATGCTAGAAGGTGAGAATTTCAGCCTTTCGATAAAATTTATCATCCTGATATAATGTTTCTCATTCAATTAGAAATAACATCGTAGATCTTTTTAGAAAGTTATAATAATTTGAGAATTATTAATTTTTTCTAATTACCTATTGTAATCCCCAAAAATTCTTAACAAAGGTTAAGAATTTAAAAGTAAATTGTAAATAAATTTTCTTAAATTACCATTCCATGTTATTTTTTCATTGACTCTCAAGGAATAGATGTATGATAAAATTTACAACAAAAGTCTAATCTAAACCAAGAATATTTAATATAATTGATAGTAAAGGCACAGTTATTATCATAATTTTATTTAAAAGCCATTTGTTGCTTGAAAATATTGTTTTTTGAAATGCTTTCCAATTCAATTTAGAACATTAATAAAGTGAATATTTTATTTAAATTTATAAACAAAATGTTTTAGCAGAATGACTATCCGACGGAGAACATTTCACTACTTAATTAAATTTTTTAGGATTTGAAATAATAAGATTTAATCTAGCAGAGAGAAGATCAATCATAAAAGAAATAATTTCTCTCAGTAATAAATAAATTGGTTGTGCAATTTTAAGAAGAAAAGGAATTTAAAGTTGATTAATTTAAAACTGCACTAGAAATAATGATCGTCTTATTGAAAAACGATTTCAAAAAATCAAGCAAGAATATTGAGATAAAAGCTTGGAATAATTACGCTAAGTAAATTTAAAAATATTTTTAAGGAAGTTTATCAAAGAATTTGATATTGTGAGACTCTATTTATCAGTTCTTTCGTTTTTGGATTATGATTAGGAGTAGATTGAAGATCAAATTAACATAATAGTTGAAATATTCAAATATTATTCAAGTGACCAAGAACTCTATTCATTGATGATTGACTTAATCTATGATTGGAGCTTCCAAAAGTAAAAAATAAATTCACTAGATTAGTTTTTAGGAGTCCATAATGGCTACTCCTCATAGAAAATTTATGTTAAATAATTATTGAAAATAATTAAAACCTTCCAATTAATATAAGAGCCCTCAGAATGTTAAATTCGCTTTTTCTCCAAAATTCAAATTTTAAAATAATTGAAAAATATGGAATTTTAAGTATTTTCATAATTTTTATAAGATCAATTATAAAACATAGTGTATCTTTATATAGATAATTCAACTTTATGTGTAGAGGTGACAAGGTTGTTTTCCATCCTGGTTTTTAGATATACTTAAGAATTTCTGCAAATTTTTGTAAAATTTAATTTCATAATTTCTATTTTCATTTAACATTTAGATAATGATTAGATAGTTTTACATACTATTAGAATATTAGGATGCTTTTTAAAAGCGGAAGCTTTTATATCAGGATTTATGAATATGGAAATCTTAAGATTATTTACAGAATGGAGTTAAAAAATTGGGAACTAGAACTTAAATTTAAGTCAACTAAAAAAAACTTCAATTATAATGTTATTAATTATTGAACTATTAATCGAGGAAAATAAATTATCACAGCAAGCAATAGAAGATTATTTAATACAATTTTGTACAAATATCATTGATCATCTAACTGTTGATTTGCAAATTTGTACAAAAGTTTATTAAATAATAAGCAAATTTACAATAAATAAAAAAATCAATAATTAAATATTTAATTGTAAGACATTTAAATGCATTACAAATTCTTATATTGTGTAAAAGTATGAAAAATAATTTTAATTAACTGTTCTTTAATTTTTCAATTCATTGATCTTAAGTGATATTGAAAAAATTGATTTAATTATTTCATCAACTATTTCATAATAGTTACTTATGTCCATTTAAAATTAATTTGATTATGATTCATATTAAGAAATAGATGGAAAAATAACCTTAGAGATACTTCGCTATATATAATTGGTGAGTTAAGATAGTATTAAATGCTCAGTCGTTTGGAGTACTGATAGTATTTAAAAGTTGTTTTACTAAATTTAGCAGAGTACACTTAGAAAGGATGTAAGACTGATCGAATTATTTTTAAATATATTATCCATATATAGTTAGCTAGAAATAACTGAAGATTTTATAATAACAAATACAAATACTTTATTAAAAATTATAGAAGACAACATTCTAAGTTATGAAATATGTGATGACTTTGCGGTATTGTGTTATATATAATTTAGAATATCTTGTAAAATCTTATAAACAGCTAAAATAATAATATCCATTTGCTTATTGATTAATTTGTTCCATTGAGTCTAATAATAATAAAAAACCAACCAGAACAATAAACTTTAGTCTTACGATTTTTTGATATTTATGAATAAATCTCAAAAATTGATTTATAATCAAGATTAAGGATCCAAGATTTATGCTCAATAGTAATGTAAGAATTTGAGCAAGAAAAATTTATTCAGTAAATAATAATTAACTAAAAAGTCCTTATCTCAATACATTGAATGAATATATAGGTCGCTGCTCTTTTTCTTATTAGAATTTGCTAACGAAAGAAGCAAGAGATTATTTGGTCAATGGTATTCATTGTAAACTGTAATTATAATATGAATTGTAGATATAAAGATGATGGATCTGTATCGAGTTTACTTGTATTTATTACTCCAGACTTAGCATCTATCTGGTGTAAACATCATGGTGATTCAAACACTAAATAGAAATGGAGACTTGCAACAAAACATGTAATTTCGATAAAAGATTATTTAAATGATGTAGAGGGATGGAGGTTATCACCTTTTAAGAAATTTGGAAAAAAAAGTAAATATTTAAATATAATAAGAAATCGATATAAATAGCTGTTTTACAATTACAGGTAATATCATTTTAAACAAATAAATTTAATTGTAAAACTTCCATATCTGTGCACCAACAGCTTTAGATAAATACAAGATGTTTGAATATTTAAGGGCACTTGTTTAAATTAATTGAAATATACGAGATATTACAGTTTTATGTTTTAATAATTATTAAATTGAACAGATATTTATACAACAATTTATGAGATAATTCGGAAGGAAAGAATAAAAGCAAAAATCCTTGAGTTTACCCTTTGATTAACTAATTAAGAGACTTAATGAACTAAAAGTGTTGAAAAATAATTATATCAAATCTCTTATACCAAATAACAATGATTAAAAAAAACAGGATGATGATTTATTAATTACGAAGAATAAAAATAGTTAGATTCAAAATAATATTAAATATGATGCTCCAATTTTGCATATTATTGATAAATAATATGATTTATCAAAATCCAATTTCCAATAAGAAATTATTTAATCCATTAATAAACTAAATATAGAGATAGACAATCAAGCTTCTCATTTAGTAAATTTAAGGCATATGTCTTCAATTGAATTTTATCTATTGGTTTCTTAATATCATTTGAATGATAATTTGCATTTTAGTAAAAGCGATATTTGCACAATTTGCTAATTTGAGTTATTTGAAATTGCAGATTGGGATAAATTTGAGGAAATATTATGTTGTGAATAACTTGTCGTCGGCCTTCCATGTGATCATTACTATCATATGGATTGTTTGACTCATTGTATCAAAGAATAATATATACAATGTCCTATTTGTGGAAAAATTTATGGTGTTAAAACTGGAGATTAACCAGATGGAGAAATGATATGCCATATTGATTATAGAACTCATTGTTAAGGGTATGAAGATTATGGGACAATAGTCATTTATTATAATATGTATGCAGGGTAAAGAAATGGATAGCATTTTCCATCAACATATAGAGAGGCATTCTTGCCAGACACTCCTGAAGGAAGGCAAGTCTTTAGATTATTAAAAATGGCGTTTGAAAGGAAATTAATCTTTACTGTTGGCCGTTCGGTGACAACAGGAAAAGATAATAGAATAGTATGGAATGGAATTCATCATAAAACAAATTTGAGTGGAGGAGTTAGTTGTTTTGGTTATCCAGATCCTACTTATTTTAGTAGAGTGAAGGAAGAACTAGCGGCAAAAGGTATATATTGATAAATTTGATTGATATATTCATTATTCATCTATTTTTTTTTTAATCAGCCTTTGATAAAAATTTCCTAATTAAAAATCCTAAAGTCACTACACAACACACTACTCCTACGCAAATATATGCAATAGATAAAAATTCATTTTTTCCTCCGAAAGCATTGGTGGTAGAAAAGACAATATATTTTTTACCATTAAAGGAAGAAACATTATAAGCTAGGATTAAAATATTTCTTACTATTTTTTATTTGAACTTCATAAATACCAGCTTCTAAATCTTAATCTATTTTCCCCCATAATTTTCTAAATTATGGTAAGGCTGCAGTCCTCATCCAAACCATAAATCTTTCTTTAATGATAATTAAGTTTAATACCATCCTCCATATCAATCCACTATCTATTCAAATCTATATTTTTATATCTCCCATCTAAATCGCTAGGCCAAGCAATTCCGTTTGATGAAATTTTGATTTCTTTTTTAGTATTGTTAATAACTTAGAATAAATTGAAAGTATCATTAAAATAGCTTTTAGCGATCAGACCGCATGGTATGGCCTTTTCTTCTTTTTTTAAAGGTTCATTTGTAACGCTTGAGGTTTTTCCCATTTCATCATTAGTTACAACTGGATCACATTCATCCAATTCACTTTCACTTAAATCTGTTCCTGATAATTAGGAAGGAGATTTAGATTTGACATATCTTCTATGATTCTAATAAAAGTTAGTTAATTAGTAATAAAAGAACACTGGAGACTTGTAATTGCTATCAAGTGCTATTTAAATCACACAATCACTATTTTGAGCTGAACAATATGAGTCATATTAAAATTCTTATGTTGCAATGTCATTTGAATAACTTATCAAAACTATTCCCATGATTAGAAAAAATAAACTCATTGTGGCAAATAATATTATTGTTGAATTCAAAGTAGGAACAGGTTGCCACGCTTTCATGATTTATTGTTTAAAAGCGTATGAAAATCCTTTAGGTTACGCCTGCATAATCAATAATTAATATATATATATAATAATAATAATTCATTTAAAACTTTGCTTCATTTTTATTTAATCTGGAAAAAATTCTGAAAATCCATGATAGTATTACTCCTATTCTTTCTCTATAATTATTAAGAATTTATAAATTTATGAATCTCTTGACAATGAATCAATCATTTCATAGATTAAATTCTAGATTTGAGAAATTATTTCTTATTTTTTAATACTTATGTCTAAAATTTTAAACTAAATTTTGCAACAATACAATCCTCCTCTATTGAATTTTTACTCTCTAAAAGTCCAACCTAGCACTATTATATTATTTTCTTTAAAAACACCTTTTATTATGGAATAAGTAAAATACCATAATAAGAGATTGTATTATTTGAAAAGAGGCCTAAATAATCAATATTAATAATTACTATTAAATTTGATACTAGAGAGAGGAATATTTAAAAAAAATTCCTTTTTACTATCAATTTATACCTGATCATCAGATGCAAGTTTTCGAACGATAAAGCAATTATTCATATAAAACAAAATTATATATATAATTTAGTTTAAAAAAATAATTCAATATTTTAAATTTAACCAATTTCTCACAGTGCTTTTAATTTTACTTTTACAATCAGGATTCATCTGTTTTTTATGAAGCTTATTTCTAATATCTAAATTAAAATAAATGTTTTACAATTTTATAAAACCTAAGTTGCATATTTTATGTCCAAATACTGCCTTCTTAATAGCCAAGCTTTAACATTTTTCTATATTGTTTATATATGATTTGCATAATTATCATATGGCTTAATAAGATATAATAATTACGAAATTAGAGTTAAATTCCATTTGTTAAGGACGAACTTCATGTTTTGAGTAGTTCCTTAAATATTTGTGCTTTGTATGCTTCTCCTCATTTTTTATCACAGGGCTGTTTTTGTTTTCAAACAAATCATTGACTTAAAAGTATTATAACGTGTCTTAATCATCCTATCCATTCCATGATTGTTATTCAGTATAAGAACTTGAATTATGTATAGAGTCACATAATGTATAGCCTCTAATTAGGAGATCTAATATCTTTTTATTTTAATAGACGCTATCAATTGAAAAAAGTTAATCAATATCAGGTTTTTTCTCAGCACATTCATTAAATTGATCATCAATAGCTCCTAATTATATTAGTAAATTCACAATTTCTTCTTGTTGTAATATGATAGCAATTTATAAAGCAGTTAATCCATCACATCCAGATTAATTGATATTAGCTCCGTTTTTTAAAATCAATTTTATCGCCTAAGAATATCCTAATAATGTTAAATAATGTATCAATGAAAAACCATAAGAATCTTATTCGTCTAAAAACTATCTAACTGCTTCTAGATGGTTCTTTCCTAAGACAATTATTTATTAAATTAATTGTGTGACTTTATAGTCATCAATTTATTCTATTGATTCTATTTGTTCTTGTTCCATATTAGAAACTTACATATTCAAAGTATTATTGAAGTATGCTTGAAACGATGCAAGTTTTTCTATGACTCGGACTTTAAATTCTGAACTATCTATCTTATCCTATTCAATTAATTTTTCTTTTTATTATTTATCTTTTTTTGTTTTTCTTTTCTACTTATATGTGAAATGATTAATATCAGTTTATTCATCAATAAATATCCCATTACTGATAATTTTTAACTCTACTTTCCCTTAAACATTTGGAGGCACTATACATTTCAATACTCCAGGTTAAACACAATTAGCTAAAACAGGAACATTTCCAAACAAAATTTAGCACTAATAGATTTCTTTTATTGGTTAGAAACATAACATCATTTTCATTCCACCCTCTGTGTAGTCCCATTCAGGTGAAAAATCTACTATTTTCACAGATAATGCTTCTTTAAAACTAGAATTAAATTCATCTGAACTTTCTCTATGAGTTGAACTAGAAGCTCCAGTATTTCTTTCTTATTCTAAATATTGTATTCTTTTTTCTAAAATTGATATTTCTAATTAATAATGTGAAATACTTTATTTCAATTCAAGATCCTATTATTAATCTTGGAAATCACAAAGAAACCAAGAATCACATTAAAATTCATTATTAATTGGGATATTAATTAGAGGTTCGCTCTATTTAAAAACTTCATTTTGCTCTACAACTTCTGAAAATTAGGAATTTAAATAGTGTACTAAATAAATATTTTGTGATTATTCTAATAGCTTATATATTCTTCTATTTAATTATTGCCCATCTTTCTTTATAGTTTAGGAATATAAACAGATAATCATCTAAATCTTTAGTTTAAATATCATACCGGAATTCCATTTATTTTTAGTTTTTCTACATCCTCTCTAGTTCCAACTCCATTATGACGAGGTATATATTAATATCCATCTTTCTTCCAACCTCTTTCTTTTTCAGGCCTTATTAGAAAATACTAACCTGATGAAGGCTAATTTGGTAGGGCTAAATGAATTTCTATCTTCAATTCAGTTAGAATTTAATAAACTTCTTGGGTTTTCAACCACCTTTAAGAAATATTGAGCATTAAATTATAAAATGTAAAAAGATTACTAATTTCATATATTTAAAATTTCATCAAAGTTTCTAATTTAGTTGACTTTGACTCTATCTTATGTTTCAATATATTTGGGAGAAGTGTACTTTGATAACTCTAAAAGTGATGACTTTTAGCTTGACTCATTTGATGTTGATTTTGAATTTTTCCTTTATTTCTCTTTGAGCAATATTTCCTTTCCCAAGCTACTCAAAACCTAAGGTGACTCCTAAAAAGCAAATTAACCAAGACCAATTGCTTACATCACTCTATCGCCTATATTAAAAAAATTGCAAAGTGACATAATTATTAGCATAAGAGGTAAAATTATTGTAAATGTTGAATCAAATACAGAAAACTCATCAAGCCTTTTAAAAAAATTAAAAAACTAGTTGGATTTATCTAATTAGGCTGTCATCTGAAGGAAATTATAACACAAAGGAAAGCTCACTCTTCCAAAGTTTCTAAGGTTTAAATAATTTCTTACACAGAACCAAACATAAGACTAGGGGCATCTGTATTATGTTTGTTATTAAAAGATATCAATCCACTAATTTTCATTGAAAATAAACCATAATAAACACAAAACATCATGTAAGTCAATAAAACTAATAATATAATATTTGTGAATGTAGTATCACTAATGGATAGAATAACTGAAGATAATATATTAATGTCAATTTTTTATTTCATTAGCACTTAAAATTCCCCAAACATTAAAATTACTGATAGTAATGTAAATACATAACCAATGTATTTATTATAATATCTTCGAAAATAATTAACCCAAATATATTAAGCTTTGATAACTATTTTAATAAACAAGTTTTGATTCTCAATAGAATCAATTTCATATTGTCTCTCAAGCTTTTTTACTTTATTCAATAGTATATCAAACTTAGTATTTATTCTTCTTAAATCAAAAACTATTTATTTAACAGATTTATGAAGACTTCCTAATTATTTTAAATTTAAATTTTAATATTCTGAAGGTAATTCCTTTTTTCTATAAATGTTTTATTATTTAATTTAATCGAAATATACAGGTGGTATTAAAGCTATAATTTTAGAAATATAAACTTAAAACTCTGAATGCGTATATGAATCTTCTAAAATTATAAGCGTCTTAATAAAATAAGAAATTACTTTGCATATTTCCTCAATATCATATCCCTTTTCAGTTCTCTGCTCTTCTAAATAAACAGAATCTTTATAGCATTTATCAAGCACTTCTTCTTCCTTACTTTCTTTTAAATATCTTTTTGGAATAGCAACTAGTCCAAAACCTAATAATAAAACAACCAAAAAAAGTCCACTTAGGTTATAAGTTTAAAATATACAAAAAATTTGCTAATCCTATAAGAGAATTGGTGATGTAATCTGAAGAATCACTATTCAAAGCTAATAAAATGATAATGATTATTCCTAAAATCAATCCAACAGTATAAATCAGCAAATTTTTCTTGATTGAGTATTTCATTCTTTCTCTCCAAAAAAAATCTCCTGAGTCTTCGTAATCTTGAAAAAATGGTAGAATAAACCTTGAATATATGGTATTAACTTACCAGGATAATAAAAAATTGGACCAATACAATATTCTCCAAGTTAAGAATAAACCTTATTATAGTTATGTTTTTTCAGTATTCTCTAAAGTATTCTGTTATTGTTAAATATTCCTTTGCTTTATTATCAATATTATTTACTACCTATAAAATATCAATAGGTAACACTAAAACAATTGAAAAGGTTAGGATCCATGAAAAATATGTCAAAGCTTTAATGTAGAAAGGAACTTCTTTTGCAGAATAATCCCATACTAAATAAAAGACATAGACTATAAGTAGTATCCCTTCTATAAAAAACAATAGTACTTCCTCTTACATAAAATTTATTATTAAAATTCAAAAATAATCATGTATAATTAAAGAAAACATAATTTTCAATTGTTCCATGTTTAACATCTTTACAAATATTATTTATCAACCAACAATAATATTTACAAAGGATTAATTAGAAGCCCAATACGTTTATTATTTGTGAATTAAAAAATTATTAATTTTCATTCTTATCTTCCTAATGATCAAATATCAAATAATTGTAAAATTCTTTTATTTCATTAATTCAATATTATCAAACAAAAATTATATTATTTTGATATATTAGAATATGATGAAAATTCCTTTATCGCCAACTTTATTACAATTTGAAAGTATATTTTAATCAAATCAAAATTTCTGGTCTTTATGCCCTTAAGACTCAATTAAATATGACTTAGAGAAAAGGTTTATAGTAATTATTAATTCAACAATAAAAATAAAGAAACTAAGAATAGGTGGTGGCTATATCTAATATTCAGATAATGTATTTAATATATTATACATGTAGAAATATATTGATATTCACAATATAGAAATGCAATTAACTCGAAATTCTTAGATTAATTCGCCTGGAGTTAAATTAACAAGACAAAATTATACATTAGAAATTTATGGTGATATAGATGATTGGGTCGATTATTTAAAACCATTCTCAATATAATTCTACTTTTAATAAAGATATACGATTTAGAAAAAAATTGAAAAAGGAACATTATAAAATTGGTTTACTGTTAGATGCAAATCTACTTCCCTTGAGTACTCTGTTAAAATAGTAGAAAAAAATAATAATTTAAATAAAAGACTTTTCATAAATAACTTATAACTATTGAGAAATCTAAAATTGCACAATCTAATAAAAATGAAAGAAATATTTGAAAGTAGGAATTTAATTTATATTGTTTATGAAAATATTGAAGGAACTAATATTGACGATTTAAGGTTAGATAAATAATTAACTGAGTTTGACATTTCTACAATAATGAGAATTTTGTTTACAACACTTGAGTATTTACATTTAAATAATGTTGTTCTTGGTCAAAAGGCTATTGTTTAAAATTTATATCTGAGGAACCCAAAAGATTGGTCATCTGTATATTTTATTGATCATTTTGATATTCAAAGTTAGTATTAAAATAATAATGATTTTTATTCAAAGGCATAAAATGATATAAATAGTTTAGGTAATATTATGAAATATCTTTTGGATTATAATAATGATGCAGCAAAACTATATAGTTATGAATTATAAGAATGGTCAAAGCAGGCTTTTGATTTCTATCAAAAAATCAATGATATCACTAAAAATTACTCATCATATGATGCACTTTAGCATCCTTTTATCTTTTAAAGTTCCAAATTGATAGTTGGAAGCTTTAATTCTCGAAAATTATTTCACATGAGCTAATTAGGAATATAATCATTAGAAATTTCAACAGAACTGAATTCAAATAATTAATCAAACTCGAATAGTCCAATAAAAAAAGGAAAAAAAATAATAAAAATTAAGCCTGCAATTTCATCCCCTGCTTCTCCTATCTAAAAAGCAACATTTGAAGAATAAAGTTCTTAAGGTTCTATTGATGTAAAAGCAATTTTAGAAAAATATTTAGATGTAAAAAAATCAGATATTATAATTGAACCAAATATTGAATAAAGCCCTTTAAAAAAACAGGGTAATAGCTTTAAATTAACTTCAAAAAAAATTACATCATAAAGCTCAGCTTTCATAAAAGAGAAATCTAATTTTTTTTAAAATTCCATGTTAAAAAAATCAGCAAGAAAAATAGATAGTATACATTAAAAAAAATATTTAGAATAATCGACAAATAAAAAATCTACCTTAGAACTATGAATATAAATTTGTTATCATTTTATCATTTAATATATTTCTGTAAGGTTTTGCCTCTTGAAATTGTAGCTAGCATTTTTGTTCTCTTAGTTATTAAATTATGATCAAATTTCTTAATTACAACATCATAATTAAAAGAAGGAAAATATTCTATCATTAGATACTATTTGTCAATATTAAAGTCAATATTTTCTTCATTAATTAATTAATCATCCTGGAACATATTTAGCATGTCATCATAAGGAGAAACCATAGAATTTGTATTGTTACTATGATAAATAGATTTGGTGTGTTTTCCACTTATAACACTATCATATCTTTATATAGATTTATTATTTGAGGTCTCCTACCTTACAGTTGAAACATACGAAGGTTTAGATTTATTGTTCAATCTCATTTCTATTTTTATTGATCTTTCTTTATTTAATTTTCTTAATAGTAGAGTTGATCTTTTTTGGTTATTTTGTTTTAGATTATCACTATCCCATCTCACAACTGATGGTGATGCTTATGTCTGTTATTATTATTAAATTGAAGTTTATAATTGAGATTATTAACTTGATTATTACACACTCTAGTTTTAAATATTATTCTAGATAATTGATTTTGGTTTATTAGTATTTTTATTAGTGAATTTATTGGTGTGTTCATAGTTAGATTGATCATTTTATCTAAAATAATCAGTAAACGTATTGCTTTTTGAAAATGATTCAAATTTTGAATCTTAGAATTATTTTTATTTACTACCTTATTAATAATTATCTTCTTATTCTTCTTCTTACTTTGATATGTCAAAACCTAAATCTTATAGATATTAATCGGAACAATCTATTTGTTCAATCAATTTTTCGTTTATCATAAAAGCTAATCCACATTCTTAAACATCTTTTAGTGAATATTTTGTTTTAAAAGAGTAATATTTTCGATCATGAAAAAATCTTTATTATGGCTTAGAATTTTTATTAATGGTTATGATTTTGTTTCTATTTGATTTTACAAAAACAAAAGGGCAAGTATTTAATTAGTGAGTCCATCCACATATTTCACATACTTACCCAAAATTTTTAAAACTTTCATTAAAAATAAGATTATCTTAAAGCATCTTAAATCTTTCTAAATCTTATTAATCTTCATATAATATTTTCATTATATCATCAATATTGAGATAAATTAATTGAGAAAATTTAACAGCCTTCAAATAGGTTTAATATTAACTTTAAGTAAGACATTCTTTTTCTCCAAATACTCCAAATTCACATGTTTTTAGTCTAATATTATTAGCCAATATATCTAATTAACCTTTTAATAAGAAGTAAATTTTTGTTCCTTTCTCGTCTGGAGACCATATTTTTTCTTCTGGAGCAAGTTTCTTTTCATGCACATATAAACATAATTTTTTTAGACAATTTTCACATAAATTTGCCAACACTTTAGAATTTTTTAGAATATTAAAATATAAATCAATAGCAACTTTTTCCTTTAAATCTTATGTTAATTATTACATCATTAACTCTGCTTTGAATTAAGATTCTTATTCCAATTTTAAATAATGTTCAAAGTATTTACGAACTTACAATTATAATTATTGATTTAAATTTCTGCTTTTCAGATAATTAGTTAATATTGACAATTTTTATTTATACTCTTAATCTTTATCCTAAAGCAACTTAATAATATTTCCAACTGTTGAAACACTATAACCTAAAACACCACAAACTAACAATGCTAAAAGGATTGAATAAATTTTTTCTAAATCAGTTTGTGGTGTGATATCTCCATAACCAATAGTTAAAGTTGTAATAGTGCAATAATAAATTGAGTAAATATATTTCTTTGTCCAAATCTCTCCATCTATTCCATAATGTGTAAGCCAGGAATAACTATTTTATTATATTTAAAGTTCACCTAATAAACCCCAAAGACAAGCACAAAAATGACATGTTATTATTATAAAATATATTAGTTTGGCCAATTAAATCAACATTTTAATTGACTCTTTTGGATTTAATATTTCTTCAAGATTATTTGCCATTTTAGGTAATTTAACAATTCGAAATAATAAAGCAAATTTTAGGATATCAATCTCATATTATTAAAATAATATAGGAATTAATATTAAGACATCAATCATTAACTTTCCACCTTTCATATAATTTTTTAATATTTCTGCTTGATTCCTATGAATAGTACCTTCATGATAATAAGCAGTTTATAAAGTTAATATTACATCTAATAATAGTAGCCAAGAAGGAATGGTATTTAAATATAAAACTACTTGATCTGAAGCCTTAAAATCAAAGCTTAATTCTAAAGGAACATATATCAAATTAATAATAACTGAAATTAACATCAAAATATCCCAAATTATTTTAATGGTTTAATCAGGATCAATTATTGGGATCAGTTATAAAATTTTGAAAAATTGATTAAAGTGACATTTTTGTTTTGTAATTTTGACATTATTCAAAATATCTCTATATTCTAATAATACACTTGAATCACTTCCTGCATCATTAACTAAACCTAATATTCTTGTGTTCAATAATTTAAATTTGATTTTGTTTCCACTTGTTTTTATCTGCCTAATAAATTTTGAGACATAATATAAAATATTCAATGATTTCTGTTTCCAAATATTTTAAAAACCATCACTAGAAAAAACCTACTCATTATGTGGACTTGGAGATCCATTTTAACTCATTGAGTATATGTCCCTAATTTATGAAATAAATACTAATAGCCTTGAGATGATGACTTAGAAAGAATAGATGCTTCCAAAACAACATCTTGCTCTTGCCCTCTTTTTGGAGTTAATTAATTTTTCTTCATACTATTCAATCTATTATTCTTCAAAATGCTTTTTAATGCAGTGGGAGATTTTTCTTAATAGTTCTTGGAAGAATATGAGAATAATGTACTAATTTTGTTCTTGTTTATGTTTATATTTCCATTTATAAATAATAATTAATTTTCAAATTATATTTCTTTTTCATTCATCTTAATATTTCTAAAAGCACCCCATATTTGTCCTTTTAATGAAAACACTACATTAAATTAATTTAGATATAATATTATTAAATATAAGGAAATTTACTTTAAATAAATTAATCTTTATTTTATTTAGACTGATTAACCCAAATTATCTTAAAAGATTGATAAAAAGGAAAATAATTATTATAATTTATAACCATAACATTGAATAGGCCTCATATACGGGTTTTTGATTGTTATAATGATTTTTCTATTGCTTCTTCTGAATTGTCAATTAATCTTTTGATTCTTGATTCAGTTAATTAAACTAAAGGATTTTGCACTGAGTCATAAATACCATTAATAGTTGCTCTACTTTAAAATTTAGTGATTGGTGATGAAATGCTTAATTAATCTAATAATTTATTGGATTCAGCCAAAGCTTAATCAATTCTCTTTTACAATGATTAATCTGTAATTGAAAATTCCTCATTAGCAGCTTTTAGAGATAGAACGGATTCTTTTTTTCTATGATATGACATTTATTATTCTTCTTAGTAATAGGAATTTGGTGATTATAATATGGAATCAGGTGGATGGTGCTCTGCAAAATCTACTGAGTCACCATCTAAATTGCTAACAAAGTGATGATATTATTTCTTTGCTAATACTTATTTAGTTGATAATCTTTCTTCTGGATCATGAGCTAACATCTCTTTTAATAAAGTAAAAAGACTATTAGAGTAAGAGTACTATGCAAATTTTTAATCCAGCCTTTTAAATAATAAATTTAAATTAACAAATTCCTCAAGGTAATAATCACTCACAGGCTATTTTGTGATTAATTATGATAATAATAAACCTAAACAAAAAATATTAGCTTTTTCTTAATTAATCTTATTTTTTAATCCAGAAAACAATTCTAATTATTCTGGTGCTAAATACTCAACTTAGCGATCATTGTATTTAACTTAATGAAAATTAGATATTGCCTCTAAAGCAACAATGTTGTCTACTAATTTAATAAATCCATCATCTGTAACTAAAATTTTAGATGGATGTAAGTCTGTTATTTCATTATTATTTTATTTGCAATAATCCATTGCATCACACAATGAGAATATTAAATAATATAATTCTTTTTCTGTAAACTTTTCTTTAAATTAAGTGATAGTATTTTCATAATATTCAACTTAGATAGATAGATATCTAATTTGAGAACATAAATCATTTGCAACAAGTTTCTAAAAACCTAAGACTTTTAGAAGGTTTATATTGTCATAAGATTTTCTCTTCAAATAAGTTTCTTATTTCATATTATGTTATTCTGACTCAAAAATTTGCTTATTGATTATAGCAATTTTCCTACCTGTTTCACTATGTTTATAAAGCTTAATCTCACCAAACACAGGATGTGTTTTTAGAGTTTGGTAAGCATAATTTTAATCTAAAACTAGTAAGCTTTGTTATCCATTTGTATTACCCATTTTTTAACTTATTTTATCAATATTCGTTAATATATTATTATTTATAGAATTACTTAAATAACTTATTAAAAATACTGTTTAATGAACAAAAAATTAAATTAGAATCATTAAACCAGTTATCTGAAATTTTTTAATCTTAAAGACTTAATAACATAAAAATTTATAATATCAATATTCCTTTATTTATTTTAATAATGATAATGTTATTTGTTCATTAAATTTTTCAAAAGGAATAAACATCAATAAATGTCTAATCAAATATATTTAATTGTGAAGAACTAAAAATACTAATATTTTATTTACTTTCGCTTTGCTTGTAAAAGTATAAAAAGCTAAATAGTGTCATACTTAATCCTCCTGCTAGATAATAAAGAAGACAGCCAACTTCTAAATTATAAATATAAGTGCTTAAATAAGTATTTTTCTCTGAAATAATTTAATAAATAAAAGGTTCAATAAACGAAGGAAAAAACACAATCAATGCCCAATATTCATCACTCACATATCTTTTAAAATGTTCTTAATAAAATAGTAATTTAATATTTTGAAGTACTCCATTTAAACCATTTTAGTAACTTTTTCTAAATTGTTTTTATCCACAAACAAAATGATTAGAATTATCACAAAGATCATTATAGTATATTTCATTCAGAAACTCTAAGTCTCCATTTTCCTTTGCTAATGGTAATGGTAAGAAATTATAACTTTATATAGCCTCGTCATATTTTACATAAATATCTGACATAGTTTCTGTAGTATAATTGTTAACAATCATTTCATTTAACAAATTATAATGTTAAATATGTTAATATTCATGAGATAAATGAACATATTATTCAGCTCTAGCCAAATAATCACTAGGAATTTAATTAGAAAATAGAAGTCCTCCAATCAAATAGATGGTTACACTGAAAAATATGAAAATAAGTATTGAAACTTCAAACCACATTGATAATTTCACATCATAAATTTTAGTTTAGAGTATTTATTGCTTAGCATTAGTTTTCAAAGAATAATTTAGTCTATCATTTAAAATTTCTTAAGAAACAAAATCATTAGTTACTAAATTCAAAGTATTCAATTTTTTTATATTCTCAAGTATTTCTGATAAATTTTTTACTTCTTTTTAAAACTCATTTATATTAACTCTTGTTATTAAGAGAACAATCTTTTCTTAATAAATATTAAGCTTATTATAATTTCTTAAATATGGAAATAATGGTAATACCAAAATTCCAATAGTCAAAAATGTTATATAATCCTAAACTAACATCATTTGATCAATGTCATCAATTATACCTTACATTTGAAAATCATTAATCACATCTGTGCTTTCTGTAATATCATAAAATCTACTGATCAAATTAAGAAGTTAATTTGTTTCATTAATAGATAACATTATTTAATAGTTACTTAAAAGAAAATCATAGATATTTATTTCAACTGATTAAAAAGTATCTATATCTGTATAAACTTTGATAGGAATATTATTTTCTTGAACTTTAATGTATTAATCAATCTCTTCATTTAACAATTCCCTATAAGTAATTGTTGTTTCTGTTATTGATTCTTATAATTAATTAATTGATAAATTAAAATTATTAATGTTTTCATCTTAAAATTATTTGCTATGTAAATATATAGCTTATTATGCACTATTAATGTATGCTCTATTAAATTCATAAGGAATTAGTAAATGAGCACTTGTAGTTATGACATCTTCTAACATACTTATACTGATAATAGATAGTGTAATTACAGATATTAATGAAATAAAAGTGATAAATATCCATGATGATATTAAATAATAAAATTGATGAGGCATTTTAGAATTCATATAAATTTTTTCTAAATTTTCTCTTTCTGCCTTTGACATTCCACTAGTTGTAGATTATTATTCATCTAAAATTCTTTTTTATTTATTTTATTTAATTTTATGTACATAAACGACACATTATTATTTTTAAAATGTAGGTGGATCTTCCATTAACTAATTTATTTACATTTATATTTATTATTATTAATTTAATTATCCAAATTCTAATTCTTCTTCAAATTCTCTTATTCCATCATCTTATAATCCATTTTTAGATATAAATTTAGGATCAGTTAATTCTTTTTATTTTAATTATTTTTCATAAAAATTATCAAAGCTATTTTTAAAATATCTTTATTATCCCACTAAATCAGATTATTAATGTTTATTACTTAACATTCCTCTTTCTGTATCCTTTGGAGTCTCTAATTAGATTCTAGGTGACTCAACCTAAAATACAGGTTACATTGGTTGACTTAAGGATATATTAAATTATAATGTTCCTTTTTCTTCTTAACCATCAATTTCTTCATTCATTTAAGCATTATATTAAATTTCTTTATTAAACATAGATGTAGAAACTCTTTAATCAGTTTATGTGTAATTGTGACTTATTGTTAAATATTAAGATATTGTTGATACAGTTTAATTAGGTTTAGATTTTGCTGAAGATATCTCTTTTATATCAATTATAAAATAGGTGAAAATGTTTTATCTATGACTTTCAGTTCCTACAAAAGTAAAAAATTCTTAAGATAAACCTTTAAAATTCTTTTCAAATTTTTGAAGATCAAATCTTAAACGAAATCCTCTTGATGATTTTTTCAAATTTTTTTACTCTTGAGCAAAATCTTTCATTAATTCTCTATCTCTTTTATCAAATAATTCTACTTTATTATGAGTTGTTGACATCTTTGATAATTAATTATCATACTAACTCCCTGATGAATGATTTTGATATTATTAGCATAAACTAATAAAATTTGAATTAATATGGATAGATGATTTCAAATCTTCAAATTCTAAATCAGTAGTAACATCACTTTCCTTGTAATAGTTATTTTAAGTTTCATCAATATCATTTAAAACTTTATAAAAATTTGGAAATAAAACTTAAATTAATCCATATTTTAATAAATCTGCATAAGAAAATAGTTTTTCAGAATCAGATAATAAAGAAAATAAATTTTCACTCATACCAAGTATAGATCCACGTGCATCAAACATTATTGCATCCTAAAATGAAACTTTCAACATACAAACATTAAATACGCAATCTTCAAAATTAGTAAAGTCATTTCTTAATGATAACATTATAGGGAAAATAAATTGATTTTTATTGGATACATACACTCTTCTATTCTCATATAATAGATATGTCTAACCATTTTATATATATTAATGAATAATTTAATTATGAAAACTTGCTATATGAGGAGGCATTAATTAATTAATATTTGTAATTTTAGTTTATTCATCTCTATTATAATTAAAAAATGCTTCTATTCTATCTTCATTTTTACTAAGAATACACCCTAATGATTTTATAAGTCCTGTTTTTATTAAAGTGAACTATCCTCTCATTAAATTAAAATTATTCAAACCCTCATCTTCTCTATATTAATCTCTATTTTTTAATTCTTATATTTTTTATTCTAAAATATTTACTCTCCCCAAAGAATTAGAAATTACAAGATAGCTTAATTAAAGTAATTTTAAGAATCCAGCATTTTCATAATTTTATGATAATTAAGATATTTCTTACTAAATTTTTTTATTCTGTGTCACTATTTCCATTAAGGGTCTATAAATTTTTTTTATAAAAATTTATATTGATTCACTACCTTTTTCAATTAATTACCAAATAATTATTTTTTATGTAAGGATTTATATAAATGATTACTGATAACTTTAACAAGAATTTTCAATTTGAATAATAGTTTCTAAAGATAATTCATCAATTTATTGTTCCTTCTGATTATTTTCTTACTAAATTTTGTTGAAATAAATCAACTTTAACTCTAATTTCTAAATAATTAAAATAATTACTTTGATAATTTTTGGAAAAATTAATTTATAAAAATAGCTTAATTTTGCTTTATGTTTATAACAAAATAGTTTAAGAAAGTAATAACTCATCAATTTATTTCCTGAATACTTCTCTAAAAATGATGCATATAAATAATTTAATCGATCTTTTCTCTTTAATTTTGGATGATTTAAAGTTTAAAAAAATAATGAATCCATTAATTTAACAATATCATCAAATTTTAAATTCAATTCTCTTAAGCATCTATAGTTTAATGTTGTGTCTTTATTTCCACTTATAATACTTTAGCTATTACTATCTAATTTTAAATTTTTCCCATATTTTGTACAATAACATCCAACATTTTAGCAATGATTTATATGATTTCGTATAGAGATATAAACTATCAATTTTAATTCTTATGAAGAATACATTTCAATTAATTCTTAAGAATAAATCCAGAAATCCTAAATATTTCTATTTTATATCAATTTCATAAACTTATCTTCATAAAAACTTAGCCCCAAATAATAAGATAAAGGACATAATCCAATAATAAGATAAATGCTACAACTTTCAATAATCAAATCATATTTAAAGATAATCTAAATGATGTTAGCCATTGCAAAAGCTAATGCACTGCCCAAATACCATTTTGTTAAAAATACAGATGGAAAAGGTCTCTATATCAAACTATCATATATTGATATTATGCTAAATAATATGATACAAATCACAATAGACAACTTAGATGATTTTGTTGGAAAATAAGATGAGACAGTAATTAATGCCTTTAATAGCTAAGCAACCTAAAATAATGATATTTTTCTTTTGTATCTATTTATATCATTAAACTCATGAGTTTAACAAATAAAACTAGACATTTAGGAAATTCCAAAAGAGCAACAACCAAAAATTACTCCAACAAATTTTTATATTAAAGAATTTGAAAACTAATATTTTTATGATTCTTACAATTAATTGTGAATTAAATTCTAAGTATATTTCTGAAAGTATAAATGAATAAAAACTAAGCAAAACACTATAGAAACTACTAACACTTGATAAAAAAGGGCTACTTCAAATAAATTTAAATATTACTTATTTTCTCTATCTTATTTTGATGAAAATGAATTCAGTATTGGTAATATAATTAATATTAATATTGGCAAGTGAAATATTGCATAAAAAACCCAAAATGTTGAGTCTGTATTTTCCTATTATATGAATTATATTAAGGTTGAATACTATTTTTGATAAGTAAATTACCGATGAAAATGTAGCTATATAGTTCATGAATGTATCAGGTTCACTTTGGTTATTAAATAACTTAGAATATGGCTAGATAAAGTATATAAATATTCCTAAGGCATATACTGAATTTGGTATTTTAAAGTTTGTAGGATTAGCTAAAAATGAGAACAGCGTGACTAAATAAGTGTTGATAATTTTATATATCATTTCGTTATAATTATTATTCCTTATAAATTCATATTATTTTCCCTAAAGTATATAATATGAAAATTTTGAAATAATTCATTTATATAACACACATAGAACATTAATTATATTTATAATTCATTTTTACAAACTTGTTTCATTTAATGGTATATGATTGTTGTTGTGATTATTTAGTTGATTTTCTAATTCCATTAGATTACTATTTCTTAATTTTTTGGAGTGATATGTAGGGTCACACTCATCAATCTAATTTTATTATTTGTTTTTATTGTATAATTTATAAGCAATCTAAATGTGATATGAATTTCTTCTAAATAATTTAAACTCTTCTTTTTTTTTAGTTTAAATTTATTAAGATGGCTATTGATTTTATTTTTTCTTTTTTTATTTCTTCACACCTTAAAATGATTAATCATTATAACTTTTATTGATTTGTATGACAATTTCGTGAAATGTCTTGACTACATCTCTAAATTCTTGATCATTATATAACTTTTATCTAGCAGAAACACATCCCTCCTAGATTTTATTACTCATTAATTTTATAATAAATGAAGTTTAGCTCTAATTTGCATATTCAATAAAAAATAACAAGAATTTTGGTCATAATCAATTAAACAATTAACAAATGATATTTTGTATATAATCATTTCTATATTCCTTTGTCTTCTTCCTGCTCTTCTTCAATTTTATACATAAAATTGATAGCTGCAGTATTTTAACCTTTATTTACTAAAGTATTTCTAGTTGTTTGGGCTGTTTTATCTGGATTTGGCGAATTTGTGTAAGTTTCACAATTCATAATTAAAGATGGTTTAAAATTATTCAGTTATGGAGATATTGTTTAGGTATATTAGTCAAATTCTGAGGTTAAAAACTTTTTCATATTTTTTCTAGGTTAAGGATTCTATGGTGAATAAGCATATTATTAAATTTATCCAAAAGATTTCATATTTTACATTATAGGAATACTCAATTATTTTGTATTTTCATCTTCCACAATTTCCTCTTCAAATTTTTATAAAATTAAATTTACAACTTTTGGATTAAAATTTTAAGTTTAAGACATTGGATTCTATTTAGTGATATTAGATTATTAGAATTTAGTCTTTTTACTTTCATATTTTTATTAAAAATATGGATGTTAAAGTGCCTGTTATGCAGTAATCCTCTCTTTAGGATTTGCTTTAAGTAGTTATGTTATTAAATCTATAGCTTCGGTTGGAGTTTTATAAATAGTCAAACTATCTAATACTAAATTACATTTCTTATTTTTTATTAAAATCTCTTAATAATCATTACCAGGAAAGAGATCTTTCCCAGTACACCTAATTATTAATAAATTAATTACAGCTTGTAAAAAATACAGCCAACACTAAATTCATCACAAACTGAAGTATACGTTTAAGTTAAATCTGTTAAATTAGCAATTTCAGGTGCTACATATCCAGGTGTTCCACATTTGGCAAATGGAAATATATCAATATTTGAATAAGTGGCTAAACCAAAATCCACTATTTTTAAAGATTATATTTAATTTATGTATTTAAACATAATATTTTCTGGTTTTAAATCTCTATGCATGATTCCTTAAGAATGCATATAATCGATTGCTTATAAAATTAACTTTAATATGAAATATATTAGTTACTTTAATTATTATTTAAATTTGTTCTTATTCAAAAATTGATTATCTTTAATTCAGTAATTCATGTAAACTTTTCCCTTCTAAATATTCTAAAATCATATAAAATGTGTTTTCTCCTTCATAAAGATCATTGAATTGTATTATATTTTCATGTTTTAATCTTTACATAAGTTAAATTTCATTGAACAAAGCATTCTAAAAATTTAAAAATATATTTACATATCCTCCATCTTCTTTTAAATATCTCTTATCAACACATTTAGATGCAAATTGAGATTGATCATATTTTTTTGTAACTAAGTAAACCTTTAGTTAACGTGAAATTATACTTTAGAAGAACCACCTTTACCTAACATATAATTAGGAGTATAGAAATCACTGATATCCTTATACATGATTTAACCCTGCATTAAATCTTTAAGTTGTTGCAAATCTTTTGTTGGAGCAGAGAAATATTTTATTTCATCCTTATATTGGAATCCAAATTATTCAAGAATTGGAGACTTTGGCTTTGTTATCCAATGAATTTTAGATGTTAAACATAATTATACAATGTATTTTGGGTTTTGTTGTTTTGGATTCTAAGAAATTTTAAATAATTACCCTTGCAAGAATCAATGCTTTTGGTAGTAAGTAAACATAGTATTTTGAATCAATAACTAAATGTTTACGAGAGCATTTAAAGGTTAGCAAAACTTAATCATAATTTATTTGCTGCATTTATTAATTAAATAAATGCGAGTTTGATTACAATATATATAACAATGTTCGTTCATATATAATAATTATCATCTTTTTAAAGCTGGAATAAATGAAGCTTATTGTTTAAATGTATTCATTTTTTCATCTTTGATCTTTGCATCATCTTGTAAAGCAGTTTTACGAGCATTTGCAAAAGTTTGACCAAAAATATTAGCTGCAACTACTCTCTTTTGCATACCAGTATAACCAGGTAATGGATCACCAAGTGGAACTAAAATTTATTTTAATATATATATATACTTGGTACTTTTTATCCAGGGTCTCCATGAAACTTATGAGTAGCTTCATCAATAGTTTCTGAATGTTATTCATATTCACTCTTCCAATTACTGAGTGATTCCTTCAATCTTGGATTACCTTATTCATCCAACTTAAAGAAATTCTTAGCAGTTTCAGTTTAAGGCTAATAATTTGTTTAAATATTTGAATTACAATCTTATATTCAATAGGTTTTGGTTTCACACCAACTATTTCGGCAGCTGTTCTGAGTTGTACCTTATTTTAATTTTGATATGTGTCTTATAGTTATGATTTATATCTTAATTCAGGTGGAACATCTTATCCTTTGTAATAATCATCATGTTATATTTGGTAAGTTATTTTCCCATAAGTTTAAGCAAATAGGTTTTCAGCTTTCATTGATTTGATCTCACCAGCATAACCTAAATAGATTTATATAACTTTTTACCTGGAATGTGATTTTGTGGCTTTTCTTCTTAATAATATCCAACTTATTGTTCAAAAAAGCTTTTTGGTATATGTCCTGTATATCCAGGGACTATGTATTACAATCTAGTGCCTTCAAACATTATTAGAAAATAAATAAAATATTAATAAAAATTAATATATCTTCTCATGCCTTTCTCATTAATAAATACACTCTTTAATCGTCAGCAAATTTATCAAGTTCTTCAGATTTACCACTCAATTTTAAAATTAAACCACCAAAAGAAGCAAAAACATTAATCATTTTATTTTAATCCTTTATCATTTTAAATACCCGACCAAACATGGCATATTAAAATTTTTCCAATAATTCATTGTCAATTTATGAAAATTCTGGCTTGTATTTACCCTAAAGTTTATTTACATTTTTACTTAATCCATTTCTTATGATATTCCTAAAGATCTAACAATTAGGACTCTATATTCACAGCCTTTGTCAATTGGATAGATATCAATATTAACATCTAATTCCATATCCACTTCACCTGACTTTGATTTACATTTTATTCTTGACACTCTTTTGAATGACTATCCAGCCTAGTCAATATCTTCTACCTTGAAATATCTATACTATAATAGATTTCTTACTCATCAATCAGTCTCTTTTCTGCTACAACCATTTATAAAATAATTTAATATAACACACTTAATATTTACTTAAAAATATAATTATTTTGATATAGTATATATACTACAATTCAGTATTACTCTTATATGATTGACCCTTTAATTTTTAAGGGTACTTTACTCTTAGATTAAGTACCTAATCCAGATCCTGGAGTTTTCAATAGTAAATTCACCTAGCTTAAATGATTTTAATTATTTGAGTAAGTCTTACAAAATATAGCAGCCTATTTTATCATATTCCCATCATTTGTTGATTTTTTAGCACTGTGAAATTAATTACATTATTAAAGAACTTTTCTAAAATCATGACTATTTATTGAAGAGTTCAAGCTTTTACAAAAATTATCTTTCAATTTTAATGGAGTTCCCTGTCTAAAATGATTACTCTCTACTTTTCTTATTGACATTGGAGTCATCATTAAAGATCTTTGGTTCACTTAACCAAGAGCATTTACTTTTTTTAAAGGACTTTGAGGAAGTCCTGTTGATCGATGAGAACTCAATTATTCTCTTCTCTAACCATGTACAGATATGGGTCTTTGTATTTCTACAGAGGGAGGCCTAATCTAACTTAATCTTTTAATTAGTAATTCTTGATCAAAACTTTATAACTATTGCATAAAGCCTAATAAGATGCATTTATACCTGGATTAGGATTTATTAAAGGTCTAACTTATATTAAATGTTGAAGAGATTTCTAGAAAGGGAAATTGCAAATTTGCATTAAATATGCTATTATAATGGTAGCACTTCTACTGACCCCTACATAACAATGCACTAAAACATTGCATCTTTATCTATTCTCTTGAATGAATTAAATAGATTCATCAAAATACTTTTTAATGGGATCATGACTTGTATCATTCAAATAGAGAATCTAACATATGACATTTAGATACTTTATGATTTGCATCTTAGAATTATAAATTGGCCATTTCTGATCCAACAGTAAGTATTGCGCCTATTTGATTCTATTGTAATAAATAGGGATTAAGGGCTGCTTCTATTCCACTTAGAAATAGAGCACCAAGTTCTTAAGTTCTAGGTAAAATGCAGTCCATGACTCCAGAAGGAAAAGGTGGTCGCTATTACAACATCTATATTTTATAAATTTATTGATATATTTTATTTATGTAATGTATATATTTGGAACTCAATTTCTAATATTTTCCAAAGCTTTAGTCTTTAACAATCTATTTGAGATTTATTAAAGATTCATTGATTTCTATCCATTAAACTATTATAAATATTATTCCTAACTTCATCTTACATCTATATAGAAATATTGATTTATTCACAGAATTTTAAAAAATTAATTGATTGTATTTACAATAATAAAACAAAAATAAATGATATTTGAGATCAGAAACTTTAAAAATTGGAAAGAATTTATATTTATTTGCTTGTTTGTATAATAAATTCATACACACATGCATTTTACATACTAACTCTGTCATAATGATTATTCATTTATGTTGAGGGTAAATTCAATGTCAATGTATTTTTCATCAATTTCATATGTCTTATCTTCTTTAAGTAAATGTATTTTTAATTAAGGTTTTTCAAAATCCTCTGTGCCTGTAAGAAAACATTTTATATTCATTAAACTTATGGTCTTTTATTATGATAATGCTATTTAAGATTAATTTTATACAATCTTTCCATTTCCTATTTTATTTTGGATGATGAGATACTAATTCAAATTGGAATACACCTTCATCATCTCCTGCATATTGAATTTTTATAGCCATATCAAAATAATCTGGTTGAGAATAAGGTATAAATTTTTCTTAATTAAAAACACTCTATTAATATTAATATTCTATAATACCATAAATTGAACTTTAAATAAAATTGATTTTTTCTTCAGTTAATAAATGTCATACAAATTCTTTTTGATAAGCATTATTTTTTATAATGATTACTATTTACTATATAATTATTCTAGTTATTCAAAATAAGATTCATCTAAAACTCCTAATTTCTAAAAGCTATCTTTGTAATTAAACTATTATTTTATCAATATCTCTAAAATAATATAATTTATATTTTTTACATTAGCCTTTTTAAGCCACTTGTCTAATTTAATTACGATATTCTAAAGCAATATTTTAATTACCATTATCTATTATGATGTTTTCTTTAGAATTGTTACGTAATTCATATAATTCTAAATCATCATCTATTTTATCTGAAAGATCTAAAATATCTAAAACTTTAATTGAGTCTACTTTTAAATTAGTTGCAAATTAATGATTTTTAACAGTAATTATTATTTTTAATTATTAATCTTAAAATTCCTCAAAAGCATATAAAGTCAATATGAAAGGATGTTAAATTAAAAAGTGATCTTCAACAACAACTTTATATGAATTTCCTTTTTAGGTAATAGTTGCTCCTTATAAACTAAACAATTCTGATGCTATCTTTACCTTTGATATTAATGTAAGATCTAATTCTGTTATTTCTAAAGGTAAATCACTTACTGATAATAATATTGGAGTTCCAATATTTTTTATAGTTGCAATACTCTATATATTAATTAATGGATGTAGTATATGTAATTTTAATTATTACACTTTTTATGAAACATCAAAATAAAGTTTAAAAGGACCAGAAAGAAAAGTTACTTTTCTAATTGAATATAATCCACCTTAATTTGAATTTAATATTTATTTGAATTCAAAACTCACTTTTTTTTCTTCTTTCAATTACTTTGTATCTGAAATTAATTTTAATTTTCTCTTATCTTTTACTCCTCCTCCTTTATGCTTTAATGTAATAGTAAATATTCCAAAGCATTCAACTTATAAATATTTTAAAATTGAAAATTTAAATACAAAATCATTATAAGAAACTCTTTATTTAACTTAAAAAGTCTCAAAATATCCTATATATGATAATTTTAGTTTAGTTAAAGGGAGTTTTAATATTTAAAACAATTTTGTATATCTACTCCCTGGTAAATTTGATTGTAAAGTATCTTTAAAAGTTTCTTAAAATGATAATTCCATTTTTTCTCTATAAAAATATATTAATTTTTAAACTAATAAACTTGATTATAAATTTTTAAAATCAATATTATTATACTTTAAAGCTTTGTCAATATTATCTTAATTTAATTCTAGTTTTGGATAAACATTCTTTAATTTTAAAATCATAAATTAATATTCAAATATTACTCTATGTAAATTTAATTGACTTGCTATTGAAATAATGTCATTTACAATAGAAGAATAAAATTCAGAAAAATCATGTAAATTATGAATTTATCCTTTTAATTTTGTATCACTTAATAAATATGTTTTAAATAATTCTTTTGGATCACTTTAAATATCTCTACTGATTACAACATCATCAAATTTTATTTCATTTAATTATTCAAGTATTGTTTATTCTAATAATTCACATTAAACAGATAGAGGTAATCTTCTTACATAATTAAATTAAATTTTATAAAGTGTAAATCCTAATTTCTCAACAATATTTAATAAAGCAAATCTTATTTTTAATTAAGATTATAATTATTATAATAATAAATCTCCAGATAGATTCTGTGGCACAGATGCCATTAAATTAATACTGCCTCTCTTTAATTATTATTAATAAATACCATATTAAAAAATTGCCATATTAATAATCCTAATCCCCATAATTCTTCTTCATCTGAATGAAATTATTATTTTTATTTATTAATTTCAATTTATTAATTAACAACTTATTATATCTCATCAGAAAAATTGAGTATCTTTTCAACTCCAAATATTTAATTTCCACCTGAAAGCAAATCAATTATCTTTGAATAATTTTAAATAATACTCTATATTGAATTAACACTAAAAAATCTAAGATAGTTGATTATGATTCATCTCCAGATTCCTCAAAATTTCTAATATTTGATTCAACAGACTTTCTGACTAGAAAATCAAAAGGATGTATAGCATTAAAAATTGGTTGTATTGTTTTTGGGTATTATTATAGAAAGAATTTCTCCTATCCTACATAAATTTCTAATGCTTCTTGTTTTAAACCTATACTCTCATAAATTTTTGCCTTTTTTTCTTTTAAAGCATAAAGCTTATAAAAACTGAAAGATTTCTCTTTTCTATTTTATTTAATAAAATATGTTTACATCAATTACTCTTAATCATAAATTTAATTCTCTAATATATCATATTGACTCTCTAAATATTGTTGAACAGATAATTAAAAATGATATAAAAATTCTCTCATACATTATTCTTTATTCAATTCTCTTTCAGGATCATAAAAAATAATCTTTTAGACTTTATCCTTTGGAAATTGTTTTACAATCTATAAATCTTAGCAAATTAATTCATGTGTCTATAAAAGGATTTTCTCAATCAATATATATTAATTTTACATTAACTTTATCATCTACTCTTAATAAACTTGGAAAAAATAGTATGATGCTATTTTTAGCTGGAAAATCATCAAAATATTTCATTAATCTTTATCTTGCTGTATTCTTATATCCTTCATATGAATTAGTGCTTAAAATATAAATATAAATTAATGGTTTGTATGTTTGTTAGTTTTTGAATTAAATATTGAGTGTTCCAACCTTGTCCTTAAATTAAAAATTCTTAATAGGGAAATATGGAGCTGTTAATTCCAAAAAATGAGGATACAAGCTATATTAATCCACTACCTAAATATCAAGCATTAATTATTATTATACAATAAATAAATTTTAATATTATTCTATATTTTCTATTCAACTTCAATTAAAGTTTTGGAAAACTCTCTAAATTTTTGATAAATACATAAGAAATGATAATATAAACTAATAATATAATGACTAAACTAAATAACTATTCTCAAGAGTTTAAAAACTTTATTTCAAAAATTAATTAAAAGCACAAAAAAATATGTGATACTTAATATTAAATGCTCATGACATAAGATATAAGTAATAAACTAGTAAAATATTATTATATAAACTAATCAAATATTAATAAAATTGATGTACATTCTATTCTTATTTTATCACTTTGGAAATTGCTATGAAGAAATATTATTTCAAAATACAAAGGGACTTCGATAACTGAATATAGAAAACAAATTGGATGAATCAATTGTTTTAGAAGCAAAATCCAGTTAAAGTCAAGTAAGCATACTGTTAATTTGTGACACAGCTCCAAACTTTTAACAATTTGAAGAAATTTACAATGATTAAAAGTATTTTCATTTATATGAAGCTTTGGATGTATTTGTGATTGGAACGCGTTTGATTTTTCTGAACCTTCCTAAAAATTAATGCTTATTAGAAATTCAACAAATAATATGAATTCATATTCTAAAAATGTGAAATATACAAATAACAATTCTCCTTATGTAGGAATATTTTCAAATAAATATGATTTTGTAAATATTTACATTTATCCAAAATAATCTAACGATTGTATAGTGTAAATTTCTTAAATATTAAATAGGAATTGTAAGTATAATGGAGAATGTAAAAAAGGAACATGTTATTGTAAATAAAATTATTTTGGATTTGATTGTAAATATTAAGGATCAAATATATTTAATGAAGAATATTTAATAAAATCTAGCTATTATTATGTTGATTTAAAATCTTTATAGGATTCTAATATTACAATCCAATTTAAAAAGAAAGGTAAACTTAGTTATTAATGTTTCTCTATAAATCCATACTTAAAAAAGGCAAATATAATTACTAGTGATATAATATAAATATCAACAACAGAAATTAATAATTGTTTACATTAAGGAAATAGATAATTTGGAAGTGTTTCATATTATATTATTTAAATATATTAAGAAGATTTACTTTACATATAGAATTAGGAAAGTGAAGACTCGAATAATTATAGAACTATGTTAATTGCTATTTTGTCAACTTGCCTTACATTTTTATGTTGCATCATTTTCTGTGTTTTCAGGTGTTATAGATCTAAAGGGGTAGTTACAAATACAAATACAAATGCAAATAGAATATTAATGAATTTGTAAACAAACAAAACTACAATTGATAATTCATAAGAAATTGCTGAATTAATTCCAACAATTCAATTCTCAGCTGTTTTTAAGAAATACCCTTAAATATTAGATTTTAATTAATGTGCAATTTGTTTAGATAACTTTCAATTAGATTAATAAGTTAGAGTAACTTATTGCTAACATGTTTTTCATTCCAAATGTTTTGATGCTTGGATTAAAAAAAATTCAGTATTAGATTTATCTATAATAGAGTTGTCCAATCTGTAGATCTCCTTAAGATAAAAGAACTATAAAATAATAAGAAAAACTTTAAACTATCATTTCATAAAACACAGAATTTAACCCTGAAGTTACATCTCAAAAGTAACAAATATCTAGAGCCTATGGGGAAACTCCTATGTTGACAAATCATAGATCAGCTGGATCATCTAAGTATATCTAAAGTAATATTTGATTTATATTTCGCTTATATCTTTCATAAATGTAAGCAGTAATTTTTAATTGATTAAATAATTCAATTTTTATATAGAATTTAAAGTCAATCATTTTATTATTGTAATGGTGGTGGAGGTTTAAGTTAAGGATCTAACATATGTCCATTTTCTATTTCTCTCTCTTAAAGCTATTAATGAGAATCAATCCATCTACCCTTTCCAACTTTAAGACCATTTTCAAATATACCATGAAATTCAGATTTATCAGAATATTTCATCTTTCCAGGACCATTTTTTAATCCATATTTGAATTCTCCTTCATATTCTCTTCCATCTGGCCATTTAAGTTTTCCTAAACCATGCATTTATCCATTAAACCATTAACCTTCATAAACAATTTTATTATAATATTTAAGTTCTCCATATCCACTATAAAGATCTTCAACAAAATCACCAGAATAAACACTTCCATCACTATATATAAATTAACCTCTTCCATGTTTATGACCATTATGGAATTCTCCAGTATATATGGATCCATCTGGATGTTTTTCTATTCCATAATCATCATCTCCAATAAATATGATTCCATTTGCATATGTATATTAATTACCAACTTAAATGTCACCATTTGGATAAATTATTCTTCCATCTAATAAAGCATCATTTTACCATTCACCTTAAATAATAGTTCCATTTTATAATAATAATATTCCCAATCCATGTTTTTTACCATGTATCCAACATCCTTCATAAATATCTCCATTTTCTAATCTAAATGGTGGATATCTTTTGAATTTCTTTTTAACAGTTTTTTTATCAAATTATATTCTATATTCTTCTGCAATCATATCATAAAATTCTGGACAAAGAGTAGCATTTTTTGGTCTATCAATTTCATCCAATTTTTTAATCTTCTTTTCATCTTATTAATTCCTAAAAACTTAAAATCCTGATTAAATTTTTAATAATCCTCTCTATATAGCATTAAAACGATTATCATCTATTTCTTCTTCTTATGCTTATCTATTACCCATATTATCTAATAATTAATGATAAAATACAATAATTTTTATATATTTAAAATATATATATTTAATATTCAATCATACATCTAATAAATTCTTTTTAAATAAAACATTTATGAAGTACTCTAATTTAATATAATTTCTAAAATTTAATGTATATTAATTTTTATTTTATAAAAATATTCTTATATATCATTGCTTTAAACGTATATCATTGTGATGTTTCAAGTTCCTTTATATTGAACTGGCTACTCTCTATAATTCATCCAAATAACTAAAATTTAATATAAATTTTACTTTCTTGGTAAAGTTTATAATTCACTTGCTGGTGTCAACTCTAATAAATTTTAGATTTCGACTAACCTTTAAATTGGAACTGAATTACTTAGTTATGTACTAGGTATTAATATTCATTTATTTTACCCTCTTTCTGGATAGAATTTTGAAGTTTAAGATCCAGATCTAACCAAATTATCTTAATTATTTTTGTTTTAAGGTGATAAGAAAGAATATTTAGATCCTGATTAGTCATAGTAGGTACTTTTAAAATCTTAAGCACCTGTTGATAAATGAAACTTTCCAATTTATTCTTAAGTCCCTATCTATTGCATTCTTAAGTTTAAATAATAATTATACTTCTTCTTTAATCCACTAATTTTTGCAGGTGATGATTGTGAAACCTACTCAGAATTTTAAGTTGGTTTTCCAAATAAAATATCTAAAGTACGAAGAGTATTTTAATGTTTTCTAGGACTATCTCTAGTTTATTGACCACCTTTTGGACTCAAAGGTTTTTATCCCAACTTTTCGAAATGATTATATTTATCAATGATGGAAGTTCTTACTTCACTCCTTAAAGCTTAATAATTTATCTATTTTAGATTATTAATGAAACCTCTTTGTTTGCTAAGGAGCTAGTATAAGAAGAAGGTTTTTCAGATATATCTGTCACATGAAATATCGACATTAAAATTTATTTATATTATATATTTTTTATTTCTATATAATTGTAATTAATACTAATTTTCTTTAAGATTTACTATAAATTAAATTTATAATCGCATAATCATTATTTAATAATGACCTTATATGCTTAATACAATTATATTACAACATTTTTTTTATAATATCATTCTCTCTATGTAATAATACTAAAACTATATCGAATGTTCTTAGTAGAATTTACCCTTAATGAATATTTATTATATAAGCTTAGTATATATGGATTTTCAATTAATTATTCATTTTTTTGATGAAAAGATTCCTTAAGTTAAATTTGGACATTAACAAAAAGATTTCATACGAATAATCTCATAGAAAGTGCTTTTTTTAAAGGGATTATGTTAGAATGGAATGGATGAGATAAAAGTTACCTAAATCACAATCAGAGTTTGACATTGTTTAATAGGTCATTATGTAAAATAAAAAGAATGTAAAAAAAACATATATTATCATGATGCATGAGAATATAATGATGAGATAAAAAAAAGATGTATTTCATCATATATATTTAGGGATCTTTGTGTTGGATTGACTATGAAAATTCCATTTTAGATTTTATAAATGATCCATAATTTGGAGAAGGCATTAAACTAACTAAATGCTTTGATGAAATTGAAATATATGGAGAATTAGATAAAATGTTACCAATATTTAAGAAATACACTATCCAATTAGAATTCACTTAATAATATCATTTTTTAAAGAAGATTAATTCTTTTGATAAAACTGAGGTAAACTAATTACCATTTAATAATTAGGTTTTTAGAATAAGGTCTAAAACAGATAGAAATGATTATTAATGCAAAATTTTTTATAAAAAAGCACTCAATCTTACCATGGAAAAATAAATAGAAAAAGAATTATATATATTAAGAAGAATAAATGATGAATATATTCAAAAATATTTTGAAACCTTTGAAAATTAAGAATAAATAATTATAGTAGAGGAATTAATTATAGGTGGAAATTTTGATTCTTATTTATAAAAATGGCCATTATTGTCAGAGGAAAAAGCATCCAAATTTTTTTTTAAATTATTTAAAAGTTTAGCATATCTTCATTCCAAAGGGATAATGCATAGAGATTTAAAACCAGAAAATATAGGGCTTAGATTAAATGGAAATCTTGAGAATCCTTGTATTTGTTTTTTTGGATTAGCTGATATTGTTAGTTTAGAAAATGAATCAGATGAAGAAGATGAAACACCTAAATATTTATTTTAAAGATGTGGAACT